CACAACCCAATCTAAAATCCAAGTCCATATCTAGTTTGATGATGTAATTGCTTACAATTGCAATGTTAGGTATGGTTGAGTGGAAAAAATTAGGTGCAATTAATGGGTTTTGTGTGGTAGTAAATAATCTTAGTTTAATTAAGTGTTTGGTGTAGCTTTTATTTGGTTTGCTATAAATACCCAAGTCCCCAAGCATTGTACATCATCCAAGGAAAAACAAAGCCTAGAGCTAAATAAGAAAAGCTTTGCTAATTAGTTTGTTTTGTGAGCTTTCTTTAAGAGTGTGCTCTATTTTCTTCTTCTTGGGATCATTAGAGTTATCTTGGATACTCTTCTTATTCAACATAAGTTTCCCACTGTCGAGTCTTCCTTTCGGAAGAAAGTTTCTTTGTAGATGTTTCACTTATTGTAAATTATTTCATGCACTCGTTTGCTATGGCTCTATATATGTACCTTCATGCATTTGTCCTTTAAATGCGGTACGACATTCATACTTTGACTGTTTGACAGCTAATTTCATTTATGTGCTTTGGCTCATACAAAGATGTTTCCCCTCCATCCCTACAACACACATTGCTTACTACTAAACTAGTCCATTTCAGAATTAAATGATCCTTCAATCAATTAACCCTACGCACCCGCTCATTTATGGAAGACGCCAATGTCATGATAGAAAATATTAGTTGGAAAGACATCTCCTTGGGCTGGAATGAAGATGTCATTTTCTTGTGGAAAATAGAACATTCTGGAATTCCTGTATTTTTTAATAGCTTGCTTGCATTTAATGCCATTATAAATAAGCCCTAGAAGTAGATTATAATATAATAAGGAGGTGTTGGAGAGGTTCAACATGGACCAGTCACAACCCTAATGTTCCTGGTTTCAGGCCTGGAAAAGATGAAGATGGGGTAAGAATAGATAGGACTCTCTATAAACATATTGTGGGAAGTCTACCATACTTGACTGCCACACGACCTAATATGATGTTTGTAGTGAATCTAATCAGTAGATACATGAAAAGTCCTACTGAACTTCATTTACGAGCAGCAGAAAGAGTGCTGAGGTATTTGATAGGTACAATAAATCTTTGGTTGTTCTACAAAGAAGGGAGGAAATGAGAAGCTTGTTGGTTATACAGATACTGATTATGCTGAAGATCAAGAAGACAGAAAAATCACTTCGGGATATATATTTACCATGAGCTCAGGAGCAGTGTAATGGTCCTTGAAGATGCGTGATCTAATGGGTGTGTGCGCGTATCTAGGTATAAACTGATTGCTAATGGCATTCATTTTAAGGGAGAATGTCAAAGTTGTAGGGTTTCCTAGTTTTAGAATTTAATTATGTAATTTGTTATAATCCCTATTTTAAGGGCTAGGTGTTTGTTTTGACGTATTCCTTAGCCTTGTACCATGTTATTAGGTTTGTTAAACGTGGGCCGCGTTATTTTCTGATTTAGTAGTTTTGTAAGGCTACTTATAGCCTACCCAGTTATTGACTTCAATAACATTATTCTCCCAACTCGAGCAAGCATTATCAAATACTTAGTGCTCGGTTCTTAGCAGTATCTCTTAACTCTAGACAGTGTTTATATAGGTAAACAATTCTGTACTGTTAAATTTGTATCTGTAAAGAAAAATGTTTGAGATTATCCATCTACAAAGAAGAAAAGAACAGATTGCTATATATAGATTTTCTGCAGGTTTTGAAGGATCCGATAGACATGAAAAATATAATTCGACCAATATGAAAAATATATTTTGACAAATTTTGAATACAGATGATTAATGGTTGACTATTAGAAACCATAAAAGAACGGGAGGTTGTTCAGTTCTTACTAGAAGAAAATGCGTTCGTTTATTGCAGAAGAAATATAGCCAAGCTAATTAATTATTCAATCTGTCTGATTCTTGGATTCGTTCGTAGTGCTAATGTATAAGCTGCATTGGCAAATTCTAAATTATTTGAAACAGCTCTGATCACCCTTTTAGCAAAAGGGCTTGATATTGGTTAGAAATGTATAGTCACTTTCGAAAGCATGGATTTGCTCAGGAGTCAGGACATTCTATCTTCAGTTTTAGTATTTTTCTTTTTTGCGTTGTCACTTTCATGTTTATCTTGTTTGATCTTGTTTAATTTTGAGTTTTTAGATCAATATGATTTCAGGATGGGGAACAAATGAGGCCTTGGCTATCAATCTTGGGCATAGAAATGCTTCTCAATGAGAGGCAATCCAGAAAACTTATGCCGCCGCTTATGGCGAAGATCTCCTCAAAGAACTGGAAAAAGAACTTACAAGTGACTTTTTGAGGTCAGTTTAAGAATGCACTTTCTTTTCTTTCAGCATTGGTTCAAATAGATTGATTGCATGCTTGTCATAACTGGTAAAATGATGTGTTTGTGTTTCTGAATTTCTCTTAATCAGAGGGTTGTATTGCATTGGACACTAATGAATCTAAACTTGTATATTATCCCTAAACCTTGTCCTCTGTCACACTGTGGTGACCTTTTTTTCTCTCTCCTGGTTGAAAAAATGAAACCAAAGTAGTTTCCTTTTCTATTTTTCTGGCTGGAAAGAACTGCATTTTCTTTAGTCCCATTCCTTTCCCACCCCCACCTCATGAGGAATAAGGTTTATTTCATTTCCAATATACGCTGCAACAGCTGATGTTTGCAATGCAAGGATTTGAAGTTATTCAAAATCGTTGATATCCATATCAATACATCTGCCTAACTATTTTAAAGTGCACTTCAACTTGCACAAGCTGCATGTATTGTCAATCTAAATCAGCACATGTGGTGAGTTAGTCCCCGATGGTTCAAGAGGAAGTTGATCATCTTCTCATGGAGTCAGCTTTAAATGGTGGTCAGGTGCTATATCAACTCATTCTCGACCAGGCTTCTGCTTGGGGTGTGTTACTGTATAATTTTTTATCCATCCCTATTTGTATATACCTTACCTTGATGGTGTTTGAGGCATTTGGATGCTGTTTTCAGTATCACAAAGATATTAGAATTGCCTTACTTCATTTCCCTCTAATTTCCACCCTTTTTGGTTTGATTTGAATGAGCAAACTGACTAGTCTGGACCAGTCACTTACACAGAGAAATTAACACTCAAAAGGCTTAAAAGAAAGAACAACGGAAGGAAACCTTCAAATGAAATGCGTTTATCGATTGAAAGTTATGCAAGTCTCAAACCTGAATAAATACATGCTCGATTGAATCCAGTAGCATAACCCTATAATAATATCGATTATTCTGTTGTCCAACGGGCAGAGGATGCTTCTTGCATTTTGTTTCCCAGTGGTCGGTCGGTCCACATTTAGTACAATACTTGGCAATAACATGACGTTTGATGGAGGGCGCCGAATTACCACAATAGACATCATCGTCCATGAAAACAGGAGATACAAACTTTATTATAAGAGATTCAAAGCCTTTACATATGATAACATGTGTTGAATTGCTTGCTCTTGATACGTTGGTCACCTGAGACTATGAGATATATGTTTTTTTTCTGTGTTTCACGCTGTGTCTCGGCTAAAACTATATTAAGGCTTATTCTATCTATTTTATGTTCATTTGTTTGTACAATTTTATGGTTCAACATCGTATAAAGTGTGTTCTGTTGTACATGTATTTCAATTACCTCTCTCTTTTTTTTCTTGTGGTTTCCACATGTTCTAGGATTTTGTATGACATTGCAGAGACGAACAAGTCGGAGATGTGTCATACTGTCGTTTATATCAAGGCAAGTTTGGGATGGTTGTGCTTTGTAAAAAAACTGTTTATGTCGTGCTTTAAGAATAAACTCACTTTCGTCATCAAGTTCATTTTTCTTGACCCAAAAAATGAAAATAAATCATCAAGTTCATTTTGTTTCATAAATTTAATTTAATTTTACTAAATTCAACAAGCGCAAAAAATGGGAGCCGGATTTTTTTGGTTTGGTTTGGAATTTTCAGGAAAAAATTCCAGCCCAAGTAGCTAGTGTTGATTTGGATTGATCTCTCAGCACAGGAATAGTCTATGAGAATGATTACAAAGTTGTTTCCCCTAATTATAAGGCCACTTAAATTAAAAGCAAGTGATGAGAAAAACCACTAAACACTCAAAGAAAGACTCAAAATTGAAAGCAAGCCAACCCTTGTCCATTCTGTCAATATAGGCATTGATGAAGAGCATAAGGGGCGTTTATTCAAAGGTTGTAAATATTTTGGTATTTGGCCATTCCATCAATAATTAATTGAAATTCATGTACGTTAAAATGATTACAAAGTCGTTTCCCCTCCCTCCATCTGTTTCGGAACTGAATTATTAATTATTCAACACGCATTGCATACCATTCAACACGCATTGCATACTACGAAACAAGTCCATTTAGAATAATTCTGAAAATGGTTTAGTGTTTAAAATGTTGTCCATTTTCCTTTGAAAAATAGAAGAAGCATTCTTTAATCTGAAGGGTAAAACTATCCATTCAAAGTGTCCTTCATTACAGCTGAAAGCTGGCCAAGGAATACTTTCTTTATCTAGTTTAATTTCCCAGAATCCTGATTTACGATCAAATTTACTAAATATCTTTTTATCATGAATTTTATTTATTAACTGACCTTAAAGAGAATTTTGATCATAGTCATGAAATACAGGAGAATACTGAAAATAAAAAAAAGAAGTGTCAATTAAGCATCATTCAGCTAGCAGATCTGTAAGCTCTTAGTCTTTGAAGAAAAAATTTGAAGACAAATTGCCAAATTGCATTTGACGTGTATATAATAAACAAAGACTTTGATTTGGAGTAAGTTAATTTGTGGAGGACTCAAAAGTCATGAACGAAATATCAGTGGGAAAGACTATTCCATGGTCTGAACCACGAGATGTCAATTTCTTGGCGAAAACGGAACATTCTACAAGTCCTGTATTTTTGTTCATTTCTCCCACCCCTTTTTCCTTGTGCAGGTCGAATTAATATGAAAAGTTAGTGAATGCCATTATAAATAAACCGTTGAAGTGCATTACATATGTACACAGCCATGGGATCTTTAGCTTTTCATAAAGTATGCCCTCTGTCTTACTGCCTTATCTTGTACATACCACTTCTTTTATCGCCAAGTCACATTGCTTTTGCTTCTGCTAGTCCTACTACTGAAGCTGAAGCACTTCTCAGATGGAAAGCCACCTTTGAGAACCAAACTCCTCTCCAAAATCTCACCTCTTGGACTTACTTTCCCAGAAATAATGGTGCCTACAATTCTTCAAGCAATTCTAAAACGCAAGCACCCCCATGCTTTTGGACAGGTATTTCATGCAATGCTGTTGGAAGTGTCATTGCGATACACCTTACCAATTTCAATATACAAGGTACGCTACATGAATTTTCATTCTCATCCTTCTCCAATCTTGAACACCTTTACCTCAATGTCAACAATCTCTCTGATGTCATTCCACCTCAAATTAGGTTCCTTTCCAAACTCATCTATCTTGATCTCTCTAACAATCATTTTGTAGGGAGTATTCCACCAAAAATTTGTATCCTGCAAAATCTTACCCATATTTGGCTCTATCAAAATAACCTGTCTGGTACAATTCCTAAGAAAATAGGGAACCTAAAATCTCTTGTCCACCTAGTGATTAGCTATAATCAACTCAATGGTTCAGTCCCAGCATCAATGGGTGATCTAACAAACCTCACCTTACTTTATCTCTCCAATAATAATCTTTCTGGCACGATTCCTAAAGAGATAGGGAAATTGAAATCTCTTGTAGAGCTACACTTGTCCAATAACAATTTAACAGGTCCTATCCCTCCAAATATTGGAAACTTAAGAAAGCTAATTGTGTTATACCTGAACGACAATCATCTTTATGGTTCAATTCCTAAAGAGATAGGTAACTTGAAATCTCTTGTGAAGCTTTATATGAATGGGAATCAACTCAGTGGTTCAATCCCAGCATCTCTAGGTGATCTCACAAACCTCACCCTTCTCTATCTCCATGGCAATAATCTTTCTGGCACAATTCCTAAAGAGATAGGGAAGTTGAAATCTCTTTTGGAGCTCTATTTGAGTACAAATCAGTTCAATGGTTCAATCCCAACATCACTAGGTGATCTCACCAACCTTACCATTTTCTATCTCAACTATAATAATCTTTCTGGTTCAATTCCTAAAGAGATAGGTAACTTGAAATCTCTTATGAAACTCTGTTTGTTTGATAATCATCTCAGTGGTTCAATCCCAACATCCTTAGGTGATCTCACAAACCTTACCCTTCTCTATCTCTACAATAATAGTCTTTCTGGTTCAATTCCTCAGGAGATAGGTAACTTGAAATCTCTTGTGAGTCTAGATTTCGCTGAGAATCAGCTCAATGGTTCAATTCCTGCTTCCATTGGTAACTTGAGCAACTTGGAATGCTTATACTTAGGAGATAACCAACTCTCTGGCTCCATTCCCCAAGAGATAGAAAACCTCAAGAATTTGACTAATCTATTATTGTTTAACAACCATTTTTCTGGTTGTTTACCGCAAAATATTTGCAACGGTGGACTACTCGCAAACTTTTCAATAGCCAATAACCATTTGACTGGTCCAATCCCCAAAAGCTTGAAAACCTGCAGGAGCTTCACAAGACTTCGTCTTAATGGGAACAAATTGACGGGAAATATATCTGAAGACTTTGGTATCTATCCAAATCTTCATTTTATAGATCTGAGCCACAATAACTTCTATGGGGAAATCTCACAAAAATGGGGACAATGCCTACAATTAGAAACCTTGCTAATTGCAGGAAACAACCTTACTGGTAGCATACCTCCAGAGATTGTCAGTGCACAAAAAATTCATGAGCTCGATCTTTCTTCAAATCACTTAGTTGGGGCGATTTTGAAGGTATTCGGGAGAATGACTTCTTTGCAGAAGTTGATGTTAAATGGAAATCAACTTTCAGGCTGTATACCCTTGGAATTAGGATCACTAATTGATCTTGAATATCTAGACTTGTCATCGAACAAACTGAATGGGCCAATTCCAAGCATTTTAGGTGACTTTCTCAAAATGTACCATTTGAATTTGAGCAAGAACAATTTCCCACAAGCAATTCCGCTGAAATTGGGGAAGTTAGTTCATTTAACCGTACTTGATTTAAGTCACAACACACTTGAAGGCAGCATACCACCAGAAATCACCACTATGGAGAGTTTGGAGATGCTCAATCTTTCCCACAACAATCTTTCAGGTTTCATACCATCAAGTTTTGAAGGCATGCATGGCTTATCGTATGTTGATATATCTTACAATGAATTGGAAGGTCCCATTCCCAACAACAGAGCATTTCAGGAAGCTCTTCCAGAGGCTTTACAAGGGAACAAAGGATTGTGTGGCAACGTAAAAGGTTTGCAACCCTGCATGCATGGCTCGAGAAAGGACCACAAACGGGTATTTAAAATCACATTCTCCCTTCTAGCGGCAATTTTGCTTCTTTCTGCTTTCTTTACAACTGTCTTCATAGTGGAAAGAAAGAACAAGCATCACGATAAAGGAGAAAAAAATGTGCAAGAAGAAATATCATTTTCAGTTTTGAATTTTGATGGGAAGTCAATGTATGAGGAAATCATAAGGGCGACAGAAGACTTTGATTCCATATATTGCATCGGAAGTGGAGGACAAGGTAGCGTCTACAAAGCAAATTTATCGTGTGGCAACGTAGTGGCTGTGAAGAAACTCCATCAACTGGGGGATGGCGAGAAGATTTTGGAGAAGGGATTCTTGAATGAAATAAGAGCACTAACAGAGGTAAGACACCGGAACATTGTGAAGCTTTATGGTTTCTGTTTGCACTACCGACACTCGTTCTTGGTGCACGAGTTTCTTGAAAGAGGTAGCCTGGCTACAATTTTGAGCAAAGATGAAGAAGCCAAAGAAGTGGGGTGGAGAAAAAGGGTTAATATGGTTAACGGTGTAGCTCATGCCTTGTCTTACATGCACCACGATTGTGTACCACAGATTGTACATCGGGACATATCAAGCAAAAATGTTTTGCTGGATTCTGAGTACAAGGCCTCTATTTCAGACTTTGGCACATCTAAAGTTTTGAATCCAGACTCAACTAATTGGACTAGCATTGTAGGAACATATGGATATGTTGCACCTGGTATGTTTAGCTCTTTTTATCTTAGTTGTTTAATACAGTTTATTATTTGCATTTTTGGCTAATTATTATTCCTTTTTGCCGTTAGCTAGGAAGGGAATTACGTATATGGATATTTGAGTTAAATAGAAAATGAATTATCTACAGAAAATGAATTATCCTCCGGTTTTCTTTGTAATAAAGGTTCATAGAAAATTAATTCTCCTCTGGTTTCTTCATGACAAGAAAATGTTTTAAACCGTGAAGTCTTTTATATATTACAAAGAATATTTTAACTTACTTTCAATTATGACATCCATATACTAATCATCCCATTGCTATGAGCTTATTCTGAGCAGAGCTTGCATATACAATGGAAGTGAACGAAAAATGCGATGTTTATAGCTTTGGAGTGGTCGCATTGGAAATAGTCATGGGAAGGCATCCCGGAGATAAGTTCTCATCATTCTCATCAGTGCCTTCTTCGTCCTCATCATCATCGTCATCTGCATTACTAGCCCATCAAATGCCGATCGTGGACGTTATGGACCAACGCATATCGCCTCCAACGCATCAGGAAGCAGGGGAAGTTCTCTCTCTTGTGAGGATTGCGTTTTCCTGCTTGCATCCCAATCCGCAATCTCGTCCAACAATGAAACAAGTTTCTCAACTCCTCTCAACTCAGAAGTTGCATTTGTCGAAGCCATTACATATGATAGCCTGTGGTGAATTGCTTGCTCTCGATCCTTTGACTGGCCGAGAATCATAGAAAGTGGGTATTTCTTATAAATAAGTTTCCCTCTCTCAAGTTTCATTTTAGAAGAAAGTTTGTTTATATGTTTCCCTTATTGTGATTTATTTCGTGCACTTGTTTGCTATAACTCTATATGTTTTCATGCACTTGTCCATTGTACATCATAATTTAAAATTCAAAAGGAAGAATTTGCTTAGGGACATTCAATGTTCCTTGTTTGATTCAATTCACCTGTAATAAAATCTCTAGTAATTATAATTCGTGTTGGGCACATAAATGCTACTGAATGAAAGGCGATCCGAAAAACATATGCTGACGCATGCCTATGGAGAATATTATCCGAAAACATTACCAGCGACTTTGAGGTCAGTTTAGGAATGCTCTTTCTTTTTGCATTGGTTCAATACTTTGACAGAATGCTCTTCCTAAACTGGTAAAATGGTTCAACCAAGGCACGCTTGATCTTTTGGGAGGAAGCAAGTGCGTAGTTGGAATGACTGTCGTATTTGGGTTTCTGAAGTTTTCTTAATCAGAGGATTGTACTGCTTTGGACACTTGATCCTCCTGAATGCCACGCAATTTTGGCCAATGACGCAACACAGGAACTAATTTTGGCAAGACAAGCTTATCACTTTGCTATAAAACTGCCATTTGTATGTATGTATGTATGTATGTCTGTGATCAGTCTTTTAAAAGAAAATTCAAACACTTTTTAGAGACTAAAAAATGGAAGATGTGCCATATATACTGCCAGTTGTATTAATCACTTGTCAGATTATGTATTCAAATGTGGTACATAATTGTATTCTCCCTAATATTACGGGTCTATTTGATAATCATTTCATTTTCCATTTTTAGTTTTCATTTTTGTGTTTGGGAAGGAAATACATGAGAGTAATGTGGGATATATAAGAGTGGAGCAAGGATTGTGGGAGATGCAGAAGAAAATGTATGAACTAAGATCTAAAAATATTTTAAATTGTTTTTCACTTTCATCTCAAATTCCCCTTGGTTGCTGTCCTCATGTCCCAAGCAAAATAAATAAATAAATAATAAAAATGTAAAACTAAATTCGAAATAGTTATCTTGTCATTCTTTCTTCTAAATCCGAAATAGTTACCTCTTTTGAGATTTTTAGAAACTCAAATTACATGATACAATATGTTAGAATTCATTTGGCCAAAATTTTAGCAAGATTTTTCATGGATGGAAGAAAACAAAAATTAGCTTAGATTCTATAGCCCGCTCCATTTCCAAATACTGGCTTCATCCCCCTGATCTTTGGGCTAGTTTGATACACATAATTGGATTGGAATGAAGAACTTTCAAATAGTTTATGGCTTTTCATTTGGAGGGGATTAGAAGAGAATTAGAATGGATAAGTTTTCTTCATGAGTAATTCATCTTATGTCCTTTAGGTGGCCGTAATTTTATAATTTTTCCCTTCAACATACCTTTATTGTTGTAGGCTATCCTGTCTAATCCAATCATGTATACCAAATGAATCTCTTCATAATACAATAACAATTGATTAAGAACCTGTTCCATCTTATTCATAAAAACTCACTTCCATCACAAGTTCATTTCATTTCATCAATTTCATTTCATTTCATCAATTTTCATTTCATTTCATTTGCAAAAAATACACAAAGACCGACTTGATCAACTGTACGTATGAAAAACTCCGCAGTCTTCCCCAAACCATCATACAAGTCCATTTCAGAATTGAATGATGTTTTAATCATGCATGTGCAATTCTTCAATCAATCAACCCTACGAACATGTTCATTTTTAAGGCCACTCAAACCATGTGAAATGAGAAACAAATGAAAAGGACATTAAGTCATGGGAAAAACCAGTACAACTCAAAAAGAAAGACTCCAAAACCCAGGAGGGCATATTATTGTTAAAAGGCTTATTTTTTGGTATCCCTCTCTCCCAACTTGTACTTAATCTCATTTTACACTCTGAAACTCAATTTTTGCCTTCACTTTGATCGTATTCCATCCATTCCGTCAAATATGCTAACGTGAAAGGGTAATTTAGTAATTTCATCCTAGGTGGCACTTAGAGTGCCATTCTCTATGGTGACATGGCAACAAAAATAAACCATCTAGGGTGAAATTACTAAATTACCCTTTCACATCAACATATTTTGACAGAATAGACAAATCCGACCAAAGTGAAGCAAAATTTGAGTTACATCATGTAAAGTGGTGATATTTTTGTTTCAAGAGAGAAAGTGGGATTAAGTTCGAATTCCATTGGATATACCAAAAAATAAGCCTTGTTAGAATTTGTGAGCATACAAAGAATTTTACAAAACGATGATAAAATAGGCATGGATACGGGATTTAAATTACGCATATATTGAAACCCTTGTTGGCTTGTTGAAGCATCACACATTGTCGCACCGTTAGCCCCAAGACCAAAAATTTGCTCAAGTTCAAAAACACCACCATCATGTGCATCACGTTGGAAGAGCATTGAGCAAGAGCACATTTCATGGAGCAGTTCACCTCCTAAAAAAGATGTGGCATGGGAAAGGTGAAACCCATCACAAAGTAATACAGGTGAAATTTGATGGCTCTCTTCCCAGCTTTAGCAACTTCACTACATGGTCCATGGCTGCTCCATTCCTTCACCTACAGGATCGTGTGCTTGTAAGTCTCAAGAAAATCCTGAAACAACTCATTGGAAAGATAGAAATGATCACCAAAGCTTATCTTTAATACATTCCTGATTGAAGGTCAACTCAAACTAGTAAGAAATCCTCATCATAATAAATGAAGGATACTAATTTCACAATCCCACGATGTTATCTCATAAATAATATCTTGGGATAATTCCTTCCTCATCCATCCTACAAATGACACAACATTGGCCAATGGGAAGCCTCCATGTGTAGGGCAGAACCCTAACCCCATGGGCGGCCACCTTTGTGAAATCTCATTCCCAGATTTCAGTATTTGGTTTTTTGCATTTGGTACTTATGCGAATTTGTTTTATGTTTGTTAATTTTTTAATTTTACTTAGTTAATTACAAATTTCAATCGTAAATAGTCATTGAAAATTTATCGACCTTTCAAGGTCAATATTATTATTTTTGGTTAAAGCTCTATTCCACAAGTGCATATGCAAAAATCATTCGAGAATCGTAGTAGTAACAAAGGAGAAATAGGCAAGCAAAGACAAGTGTAAAATGGTCATTTGGATCACATGTTTATGGAAGGCTCCAACAAAGCTAGAGAGGGGTCCCTTTAAGGAATCCATATGGGTGGCCTGGATTGGCCCCTCATCCACACAAGCAACCACCAACCTGGCTTGGCTTCATTTGGCCACAATTTCATGTAGTTGAAGCTCGGTGGTTCTCGAGCTCCACAATGAAGAATCGTCATCTCCGGTCACCAAGATACCCACCACCAACACAAATTAACAACCTTCGATCCCAAAAGGAGATCATGTGTCTCAATCGCCTGTTGGTGTGGCAACAACGATGCAGCAATGTCATAAGTTCTCGGTGATCCAAGAGTTTGACGGCGATTTTCGCTATCTTTCAGCCATCTTTAGGTTCCGACGCAGGTTTAGATCTTATTCCAATCTTCATGATTTACAAATTGGTGAAATTTGAACAATTTTGGCAATGGTCAGAATTTCCAACAATCATGGCCGCTGGCCACGGCATGCAGCGGCGCGAGCCCAACATCCCACTTTGTTCCTTTAGCCAATCTCGATGCCGTAAAATCATTTTGGGTATCCGTTTGGTGTGATTTTGCCGTTTAAGCCTAGTTTTGAAAGTAGCCACCACTAGACCTTTATGGCATGCAAAGATCTGACCATTGGATCATTATGAAATTTTAATATGTTGTTGTGCGTGTCAGTTGAGTGTCTTAGGATGTTATGGGTTGGAAATCCAATATGCCGATCTTCCATATCAGAATACATAGGGTTATTGACCCTATCGTTGACCACGTTGCCTATGGGTTAACTGTTGATCAAATGACCTGAGTTGTTCTTAAATACTGAAATTAGCCTTACTAAGGACCTAAAAGAATCTAGTGGGCCTATCTTGGTTAACGAGCCATCTTGGGGAGAGTGTATCTTGGTTTGTGTGCAAGTGGCACTTTACTGAAATTTAAGTGTTTATTGAGATTCTAGATGACAATAATGATAATGTGCAACTTCTAGTATGAAGAGAAAAGCCAAGGCCATATTACAATTATTTTGTAGAACTTGTACATTTATGTGACTAAATATCGGCTGGTTAGGTGTGTGTGCACTTGCAATTGTGATTCATGGTGAACTAATATATGTTGTAGAATGTATGTTGTGTGAGGATGTGACTGCACTACGTAGTAGTGTGGTACATGGTTGGTCCTGCCTAATTAATTTGCATTGAGGGACCATACTATTATGTGTATGCCTATGGTTCCACCTAATTAATCTGCATTGGGAGACCATACGCATTCAAGGGGTGACTTCACCTCGTTAAAAGTGTTTCATTATATATTATACGCTTAAATAATAAGTCTAAGGAATACGTAAATGAGAGAATATAATTTAAAGAAGTTAGATTCATGAGACCTTTCTTTTTCATACACATATCCTAAACATTCTTGACCATAGGATTGCGAATTGGGCTTTGACAATTTGAATTACTACAAGAAAACATAGTATAGGTGACAAAATTATTTGTGACGCTTAGAAATTCATCACATTTAGACAAAATAAGTGAGGACTTTTGAAAAAGCATCACATAAAGTTTTTTGTAGGACACAAATTTTTTTTAAGTTTCTGCTTGTCACATAAGAATCTTAAATTCGTCACGAAGTCTTGTACCGGAAATTTTACCTCCCTGTGAATTATGAAAGTGACGAAAATACATAATTCGTCACATAACATTAAAGAAAGCAACATAAATACATGTGAGGATAGGCCATGCGTCACCTATTGTATTAAAATTAGAAATAAAAAAATAAAATAAAATAAAACCTAATCAAATTAAAACCCCAAATCATAGATCTGATATGTTCTGCTCTCTCACGATCTCACCCTCCTCCGTCTCTGGACTGTTCAGTTTCCTATCGACCCCGATGACCAACCAACTGGTGGTTTGCCACTGGCGGCGTCCACCACCTCTCGTTCGTCTCCCTCTCTCACCCACTCTCTAACCCTTTGCACCTCGCTCCTCACTATCTCCTCTCTCTCTCTCACCTAGCACGAAGATTGGGGAAAGAAAAATCTTTGGTAATTCTGCTCTCTTACCTTCGTCAAATTCGCTATCAATTTCTCTCTTCATCTCACTTATTCCTTTCTCTCTGCAGCGGTCTCTCTTTGAAAGCCGCTAGAACATTTTTGAACTCTGATTTTCAGGTGTGTGCTTTATATTTCGATCAATTTCTCGAGCTTTGCTGCTGGAAGTGTCACTGCGATAAACCTTACCAATTCCAATATACAAGGTACGGTACATGAATTTTCATTCATGTCCTTCCTTAATCTTGAATACCTCAGCCTCATCGTCAATAATCTCTTTGATGTCATTCCACCTCAGATCAGTTCCCTTTCGAAACTCAACAATCTCGATCTCTATAACAATCAGCTTTTTGGGAGTATTCCACAAGAGATAGGGAAGTTGAAGTCTCTTGTGAACCTAGATTTGTCTGAGAATCAACTCAGTGGTTCAATCCCAATTTCCGTAATCTCACAAACCTTACCCATCTCTATCTCTGGAAAAATAATCTCTCTGGTTCTATTCCTCAAGAGAAAGGCAACTTCAAATCTCTTATGAACCTTAGTTTGAGTAAAAATTATCTCAATGGTTCAATCCCAACATCCGTAGGAGATCTCACAAACCTTACCCTTCTTGATCTTTATAAAAATAATCTTTTTGGTTCTATTCGAGGTAGGTAACTTGAAATCTCTTGTGTCGCTCTGGTTGAATGAGAATCAGCTCAGTGATTCAATCCTAACATCTATAGGTGATCTCACAAACCTTATCCATCTCTATCTCTGCATAAATAATCTTTCTGGTTCTATTCCGAAAGAGATAGGTAACTTAAAATCTCTTACAATCCTAAAATCCGTATATGATCTCACAAACCTTACCCACCTCTATCTCTACAAAAATAATCTTTTTGGTTTTATTCCTAAAGAGATAGGTAACTTGAAATCTCTTGTGTGGCTCTGCTTGTATAAGAATCAGCTAAGTGGTTCAATCCCAACACCGTAGGTAATATCACAAACCTTATCCATCTCTATCTCTAGAAAAATAATCTCTCTGGTTCTATTCCTCAAGAGATAGGAAACTTAAAATCTCTTGTGAACCTTAGTTTGAGTGGAAATCAGCTCAATAGTTCAATCACAACATCCTAGGAGATCTCACAAACCTTACCTTTCTCAATCTTTACAAAAATAATATTTCTGGTTCTATTCCTAAAGAGGTAGGTAACTTGAAATTTCTTGTGTGGCTCTGGTTGGATGAGAATCAGCTCAGTGGTTCTATTCCTAAAGAGATAGGTAACTTGAAATTTCTTGTAGAGATACTTTTGTCTAATAATTAGCTCAATGGTTCAATTCCTGCTTCAATTGGTAACCTGATCAACTTGGAAAACTTATACCTAAGGGAGAACCAACTCTTTGGCTCCATCTCCTAAGAGATAGAGAACTTAAAGAATTTGACTGGTTTAGTATTGTATAATAACCATTTTTCTGGTTATTTACCCCAAAATATTTGCATCAGTGGACTACTTGCAAACTTTTCAATAGCCAACAACCATTTGACTGGTCCAATCCCAAAAAGCTTGAAAATCTGCATGAGCTTAATGAGAGTTCATCTTGAAGGAAACAAGTTGACATGAAATATTTCTGAAGACTTTGATGTCTATCCAAATCCTTATTTTATAAATATGAGCCACAATAACTTCTATGGGGAAATCTCACAAATTGGGGACCATGCCCACAATTAGAAACCCTACTAATTGCGGCAAACAACCTTATTGGTAGCATATCTCCTGATATTGTCAATGCACAAAAAGTTCATGAGCTAGATGTTTCTTCAAATCGCTTAGTTGGGGCGATTCTGAAGGGATTTGGGAGAATGACTTCTTTGCAGAAGTTGATGTTGAATGGAAATCAACTTTCAGGCCATATACCCTCGGAATTTGGATCACTAATCAATCTTGAATATCTTGACTTGTCATCAAACAACATCAACGAGTTAGTTCCAAGCAATCTAGGTGCCTTTCTTAGACTGTACCATCTAAATTTAAGCAATAACAACTTTTCTCAAGGAATTCCACTCAAATTGGGGAAGTTTAGGGGTGGGCAATGAGGGGTTCGGTGAGGTTCCGCATAAATTTCTTACTAGAACCGTACTGTTCGGTCTACATCAGTTCCGATTCCGTTCTTGCCGCCTTACGGTTCCAAATAATAAATTATTTGAACACCAAATCATCATGCATTCACATACGTCATCTAAGACGATTATATAAAGTTGCATACAACACAAATCCTTTTTAATGCAAATGTCTTTGGCAGTGGCACCATGTTAACAAAAAGAGACAATTAAAAGAAATATGCATTGGTCGGTTAGCAAACAAAAAAAAAGCCAAGAACTTAAGCAGCATCAGTCTCTTGATATTGATCCCCTAATATTGGCAGCAGCAGCAATAGCAGCAAGCAAAAACATTTGAGGGTGGATGAGCCCTAATAGGGATGGATTCACTGCTTTGCAACTTGATGAAACTAATTTTTCAACCTATTATACCATGACAAGTGTTTATGTATAGGGTTTAGGGAGTATTCCGCCAGAAATTGTATCCTGCAAAATCTTACCTTTATGTGGTCCTATGGAAATAACATGTCTGGAACCATTCCTAAAGAAATAGGGAACCTAATCTGTGGTCAACCTAGCAGTTAGCTATAATCAACTCAATGGTTTAATCCAAATATCACTGGGTGATCTAACAAACATCATTTTTCTTTATCTCGGCAAAAATATTGTTTTTGGCACTATTCTAAAGAGATAGGGAAATTGAAGTTTCTTGTGGACCTAGAATTGTCTCATAACAATTTAACAGGTCTTATCCCTCCAAACATTGGAAACTTAAGAAAGCTAACCGTATTATACTAGTTCAACAATCACCTTTCTGGTTCTATTCCTAAAGAAATAGGTCATTTGAAATTTCTTGGAGCTAGATTTGTCCAAGAATAAGTTCAATGGTTCAATCCCAACATCTGGAGGTGATCTCACAAACCTTACCGACATTCTCTATCTCTACCGTAATAATCTTTCTGGCCTAAAAAGATGGGTAACTTGAAATCTCTTGTGAGTCTAGATTTGTCTAACAATCAATTCAGTGGTTCAATTCCTAAAGAGATATGAAATTTGAAATCTCTTGTTATCCTTTGTGTGTGAATGAACTCAGTGGTTCAATTCCTGCTTCAATTGGTAACCTAACCAACTTGGAAGTCTTATACTTAAGAGATAACCAACTCTCTAGCTCCGAACCCCAAGAGATAGAGAACTTCAAGAATTGACTAATGTATTATTGTATACTAACCAAATTTCTGGTTATATACCCCAAAATATTTGCAACGGTGGCCTACTCGCAAACTTTTCAATAGCCAATAATGTTACGCCCCAACCCCGATACTCCCACATTACCAGGGTAGGCACGTGCTGGCCGACACCCGAGGGTGATGAAGCCATTTTGAACATGGTCACCAATAAAAGATATGTAATTAGCAAGATTAAGCCAAAACAGGAACGTATTCAGAGCATACAACTAACTAAGAATAATGTGAAAGAATGACTATAAAAAGATACGAATAAGGAAATGATACCTACACTGAGAAGACTCGAGGATAACTAAGCCGAAGTGCCCTGACGACGAGATCATGTGTCTTGACCCTAACTCCTGAAGGGGGCGCAAAAACCAGAAAATGTGAGTGGACCAAAGCTTATAATATTAGTACTAATAATTGGAAAATATTTTATTTTTGAACATAATAACCCCTTGTTTTGAAAATGTATATATAATACTGTATATAGGTAGGTTTTGTGAAAAACCCTAGCATGCCATATAAAACATTTGTAAAACCTCTGTAAATCATATCCGTGAAGTACTCAACTAAGGGTATTATAGTCGCCCGAAGGCAGTACATGTCCATCACCCATAGGTGAAACTTAATAAATAGCATATATCCACACCGACACTAGCCGTGGTTAGTGAAGCTATCCGACACCGCTTTCGGTGGTGAAGCTGGGGTCTATAATATATCATATCTCATTCCTCAATCATCTGTGTCCTATGGCCATAGACATAATACCCATGGTGTACGGATGTACCGTATGATAACCCACTAGATAAGCACTAAAAACATGTCTCAAAATATCATATTAAAACATCGAAGCTCAAAGGCTCAACCCTCGTTTCATAAATCATATAGAATCGTGAAAGCTATCCAACTCAAATCATTCTCATAAACCACATTCCATAATATTTCATCAAAGGGCATAAAAGCAATAGTTGTAAACCTTTTCTAAGTGTAAAACTAATAGTTTATAACGTTTCATAAAACGTAAATTAAATAAATCATAATATAGAAATCCATAAAACAAAGCATAAAATAAAAAATCACTCAAATCATGAAATATGCCATGCATGCTAGGTAAATATTTATAAAAATATATAGGTTAAGAGGAGGTCCACTCACTAGTTTTTCCATTGCCCAAAAGCCGCTCGAACTATCGAGCATGTAATCATTTCCCGCTAACGTGCCTAAACACAAATAGGGACCTTTTAGTAAAATTATACTAAAACATTATAATTTGGGAAAATGGATGGTGGATTTGGATTCGACACGTCGAGGAACCTCGGGTTTTTCCTCCACGCGCCGCCGCTCATGACAGTCGGCCGGCCCGACTCGCAGAAAAATCCAACAACTCCAAAATTTCCCAAATTTTACAGGAATAAAGATCTCGATGAGTGGAGCAACTTTCATACCTGTGACTAAGGCTAATTTGGCCGAAAAAAACCCCAATTTCACTCGAACCCGCCGGAAACCCTTAAATTGGGTGCTCTTCAATTCGTCCTCAAATTGAACCCGACGCCCCCAAACTTGTTTGGGCTTTGTTCCGGGGTTCAAGGTGAGTGATTTAATGGTGGTGGTAGTCGACGTGGCTTTCACGATCGGCGGATCTCAGCCGTGGAACCCTCCCGAGCACACCGGTGCTCTTATTAGTAAAACTGAGGTCAAAAACCCTCAAATTTGGGTGGAAAGTGGAGAGGAAGTGACTATTTGATGATTGGCAGTTGTGGATCAACTTAATTTGTCGGAAAACTCATGAAATTGCGCCAAAAAATGGCGCCAGGAACCGGGTCGTGATGGCAAACGAGTCGGGGTCCGATTTTGTTGTTTCCCTATCTCCCTCCTTTCTCTGCTTTCCCATTGGTTCACTTTCTCTTTCTCTTCTCCCGATTGGTCTTCCTCTCTCCCTCATTGTTCTCCTTTATCTTTTCTCCCATCCGTCCATTTCTCTTTTCCTTCAATCCCAGATTTTGTTCTAAAAATCTGGAGCCTTCTAAAAAATGATTAATTTACTAAAATGTCCCCGACTTTAAACATTAATATCTCCTTCGTTATACCTCCAAACCACATATTGTTTGCGCCCACGCGTCCGTAGCGACGAGTACACCAAGAAAATGAACCTGACATGACACGACAAGATGGTCAACATAAGTCAACATATTTGCCTCGAAGGACATTTTTGTAAATTCACTTTTTTTTTTAAATTATAAAAAAAATCGTAATAATTGGGGACGCGTCGTTACAAATAACCATTTGACTGGTCCAATTCCCAAAAGCTTGAAAACTTGCACAAGCTTAATGAGACTTTGTCTTAATGGGAACAATTGACAGGAAATAGATCTCAAGAAAGTATCTATCCAAATCTTTATTTTATGGATCTGAGCGACAATAACTTCTATGGGGAAATCTCACAAAGATGGGGACAATGCCCACAATTAGAAACCCTACTAATTGTGGGAAACCTTACGGGGACCTCCTAATATTGTAAATGCACAAAAAATTCATGGGCTAGATTTTTTTTTCAAATCACTTTAGTTGGGAAGATTTCGAAGGAATTCAAGAGAATGACTTCTTTGCAGAAGTTGATGTTGAAAAGAAATCAACTTTCGGGCTGTATGCCCTCGGAATTGGGATCACTAATTGATCTTGAATATCTCGACTTGTCATCAAACAAATTCAATGGGTTAGCTCTGAGCTATCTAGGTGCCTTTCTCATACTGTACCCTCTGAATTTGAGCAACAACAATTTTTATCAAGGAATTCCACTTGAATTGGAGAAGTTAGTTCAATTGACCGAACTTGATTTAAGTTACAACTCACTTGAGGGTAGTATACCACCAGAATTCAACAATATGGAGAGTTTGGAGACACTCAATCTTTCCCACAACAATCTTTCTGGTTTCCTACCATCAAGTTTTGATGGCATGCATGGCTTGTCATATGTTAACATATCTTACAATGAATTGGAGAGTCTTCTTCCCAACAACATAGCATTTTGAGAAGCTCTACCATAAGCTTTACAAGGGAATAAAGGATTGTGCGGCAACATTTGACCTTTGCGAACCTGTAGGTATGGCTCGACAAAGGACCACAAACGGGTACTTGTAATAACATTCACCCTTCTAGCAGCAGTTTTCCTTCTTTCTGCTTTCTTTACAATTGTCTTGGTAGTGGAAAGAAAGAAGAAGCATCGGGATAAAGGAGAAAAAAAAAATATGCATTAAGGAATATCGTTTTCGATTTTGAATTTTGATGGAAAGTCAATGTATGACGAAATCGTGAGGGCGAAAGAAGACTTTGATTCCATATATTGCATTGGGAGCAGAGGACAAGGAAGCATCTACAGAGCAAATTTGTCATGTGGCAACATTGTTGCTATGAAGAAACTCCATCACTTGTGGGATGGCAAGAAGAATGTGGAGAAGGGATTCTTGAATGAAATCAGAGCACTGACAGAGATAAAGACACCGGAACATTGTGAAGCTTTATGGTTTCAGTTTGCACCACCGGTAACCATTCTCGATGTACAAGTTTCTTGAAAGAGGTATCTTGGCTACAATTTTTAGCAAAGACGAAGAAGCTAAAGAAGTGGGGTGGGGCAAAAAGGCAAACATTATTAGCAAAGTAGCTCATGCCTTTATTACGTGCACCACGATTGCGTACCACCGATTGTACATCGTGTCATATCAAGCGAAAACGTTTTGCTGGATTCTGAATACAAGGCCTATGTTTCAGACTTTGGCACTGCTAAGTTTTTAAATCTAGACTACCGTTAGAGGAACATATGGATACGTTGCACCAGGTATGTTTTGCTCTTTTTATCTTAGTTGTTTGATGCAGTTTATTATTTTCATTTGTGGCTAAATATTATTCCTTTTCGCCGTTAGCTAGGAAGGAATTACGTATATGGATATTTGAGTTGTCAATAGCGGTCTAAAATCATCTTCTTTGTAATTTAGGTTCATAGAAAATGAATTCTCCTCCGGTTTTCTTCATGACAACAAAATGTTTTAAATAGCGAAGTCTTATATATATATATATATATATATATATATATTATAAAGAATGATTTTATGATACTTTAAATTATCACATCCACATCCTAATAATCCCATTGCTATAAGCTTATTCTGAGGTAGAGCTTGCATAAACGATGGACGAAAAATGTGGTGTTTATAGCTTTAGAGTGGTCGCATTGCAAACAATCATGGGAAGGCATCCTATAGATTTTTTCTCATCTTTCTCATCACTGCCTTCTTCATCCACGTTATCATTAGCATCTACATTACCACCCCTCCAAATGCTGATCGCAGATGTTCTAGACAAACGCATTTTGCCTCCAATGCATCAAGAAGCAAGGGAATTGCTCTCTCTCGTGAAGATAGTGTTTTCATGCTTGAATTCCAGTTTGTAATTGCGTCCAACAATGAAACAAGTTTCTCAACTCCTCTCAACTCATGAGCTGCATTTGTCAAAGCCATTATGCATGATTATATGCAGTGAATTGCTTGTTCTTAATCATTTGACTACCTAAGAACCAGAGAATGTATTTGTGAACAATAAATAAATTTCAAGCCTTCCCTTTAGAAGAAATATTATTCGTAGATGCTTCCCTGACTGTATTTTTTAATGCACTTGTTTGCTAAGGCCTCTATTTACTTATGTAGGATGCTTAATGCTTTTTAGTTAAAATTATATTTATCCTTGTTAGGAAGAAACAAAAGTTAATCAAACAAAGACTTGATTTTCATGCATAGGAACAACGGCTGGCTAAGATGAGAACTTGAATTTGTGCAAACCCCCAAAATCTCATTTCAATTGTATCATTTTTTCAAAAATACTTTCTTTTTTTCCCGTACACTTTTCAATTAGAGGGGAAAATGCCCTTTTTTGAATAATCAATGCATGTATTCTTACAAATAACTAGTATATGCCCACATATTTTGTGTATGTGACACTTTTTAGTTTTTATATTTTTATTTTTTGTCAAATTAATTTTCATTAAAAAATAAAGCTTATACAAAAGTAAAAACCATTAAAAAAGATAGTCCAAAAAAGCTTATACAAAAGTAAAGACCATTAAAAAAGATAGTCCAAATCAGCCAAGCAAAGTCCAACTTCATGTAAAAGTTTACAATGAAATACAATACTTTGTGTGTGAGAACACTTTTTCATTTTTCGTATTTGGAATGGAGAGTGTGCAATTAGTTGAAAAAATGATGGAGAAATGTGGGGGGAAATTTGTTGCTAACGTGGGAATAGCCATTTCATTTGCTTTAGTTTTTTATTTTATTTCTATTTTCTATGTGGCAGAGAGGGAAGCGGGAGAAAGACTGGTGGGGCCGGGGACATGATCGATAATATATCATAGATCGAGGATGGGTACACATATTTGACAATATCATTTATACAACTGTATCACTTTCCTCCGTGGATTTCATTTCGTATTTCACATACCTTAGTTCGTCGACTTCGTCCAATAGCTAGCTGTTAATTTTTGGTATCAAGTCAATGGATGAAGTTGAGGAATTGGAATAAGGATAATGCTTGTGTTTTATTCATGGAGAACCTACTTGTCTTCTACTTATGATTGACGTATTTTCATCTTACGAACATTATAATCTAAATAATTCATTCTTTATATATATATATATATATATATATCATCATTTAAAGAGAAAAATTCTATTGACGAGAGCAATCCACCACTTTCAAAGCATTTTGATAGTTAATATCTGATCCATTGGCTTATTAACTAGATATTATAAAGTTTTAATGAAACATATTGTTCACCTACTTACAAAATTTGTTAAGAGGAATCAAGGAGGTGGATTGTCTGCTTTCTCATTTCCATACTCTTTCCATGTCCTCCTATGATGTGTAGTCACAGTTAAGTTATGTTAATATTTTGTATTAATTTTTTATTTAAATAATAAAACAAAAAGTAATAGGAATATAAAAGGTCGACGTGGCTTAACCGTGACCACACAAATAGAAAAACATGAAAAGAGTATGGAAATGGAAGAGCAGCCAATGCACCTCCAGGAATCAAAGCTAGGATACAATGACCAGGACCAATGTAAGAGGAACATAGATTTTGACGTGGCGAAGAATGCAATGGCCATACTATATATTACCATATCTATATATGGATAGCTACCAAGACCTTCTATTCTATATATATTTAGATATACATACACACAAACAGACAGAGAGCCATAAGCCAGAGCCATTGTCGTCTACGATTTTCTCACAGAAAGAGAAATAAAAAAAAAGGTGACGATGTCGACCCTAAGAGTTCCTCCACAAGTCCCTGCTGCATCCGAAGACTCTGAGCAACTCAAGAAAGCCTTCAAAGGTTCCTTCTTTTCTAACATGTTTTTTTTTCCTTCTCTTGATCTTTTACTCCATGCCATCATTTCTTGTTCTGATCATATCCACCCAGTCTTTTGTAATTCGATTTAAGATTGATGATCGACCAATCCCATTTGACCGATCCGATTGTTAGTGTTAAACATGATGATAACGGACTGGTAATGGAGAAAGGATTTTGTTATTCATTTTTGGTCTGGTAATTCCCTCTCTCTCTCTCTCTCTCAATGACCAATGATGCTGATTCAGATCGGTCTTTGTTGAAGAATGTAAGGATCCTACATCGGAGAATTCACAGATTAAATATGATTTATTGTGTGATTCTACTTCTAATTACACTGAGGCCCTTTGTAATAGACACTCCACACCAGATGGTGTTGTTTAGGTGATAAAAAACCAGTTGGGGGACAATATATGTGTGGTTAGTGGGGCCGCTAGTCTGTCTCTCCGAAATCTAAAATCTAGACAGTGTTTATATAAATGAATTCGGTGGATTGGTGAAGGGCCCGTGTGAATGCGATTTTTTGGTTTTGTAAAGAATTCTGTACGATTAAATTTGTTTCTGGACAAGAAAATGTGCATGAGATAATCCATCTACATAGACGAAGAGAAAAGATTGGTATATATAAATTTTCTGCAGGTTTTGAAGTATCCAACTGACATGAAGAATATAGTTTTGACAAATATGAAAAATACGGAACAAATTTTGAATACAGATGAATAATCGTTGACGATTAGAAACCATAAAGCAAGGGGAGGCTATTCACTTCTTACTATAAGAAAACGTGTTCCTTGATTGCAGAAGAAATTTAGTGAAACTAATTATTCAATCTGTTTGATTCTTAAATTCGTTCGTAGGACTAATGAATAAGCTGCACTATAATTCCGAATGGTTTAAAATAGCTCTGATCACCCTTTTAGCAAAAGGGATTGATAGTGGTTAGAAATATATTGTCACTTTCGATATGAATTTGCTCTGGAGTCAGAGATTCTATCTTCAGTTTTTTGTGCTGTTGCTTTCATGTTTTTGTTGTTTGATCTTATTGAATTTTGAATTTTTTTGATCAATATCATTGCAGGATGGGGAACGAATGAGGACTTGGTTATATCCATCTTGGGGCATAGAAATGCCGATCAAAGAAGGGCAATCCGGAAAACTTATGCAGATGCTTACGGAGAAGATCTCCTCAAGGAACTGGAAAAAGAACTTACAAGTGACTTTGAGGTCAGTTTAAGAATGCACTTCTTTCTGCATTGGTTCAAATAATTTGATTGCATGCTTGTCGTAACTGGTAAAATGATGTGTTTGTGTTTCTGAATTTCTCTTAATCAGAGGATTGTATGGCTTTGGACACTTGATCCTGCTGAACGCGATGCATTTTTAGCCAACGAAGCAACAAAGAAGTGGACTAAAAGCAATCAGGTTCTTGCAGAAATAGCCTGCAGTAGGTCTGCACATGAACTGCTTTCGGCAAGGCAGGCTTATCACTCTCGCTACAAGAAGTCACTCGAAGAGGACTGTTGCTCATCACACAACTGGGGACTTCCGCAAGGTAAAGCTGCTAGAGAATAGTTCTTTCAGCCTATTTATACAATGTCCCGAAATTTCAATGTTAATATGTTTTTCAAGTTTTATTTCGTTTAAGATTTCCGTTGTCTCTGCACCGAAGAGAGAATTACTAATTTACCATCCAACTTTGCTCCGCCCAGCTTTTGGCCCCTCTTGTTAGCTCCTACAGATATGAGGGAGATGAGGTGAACCTGCCACTGGCAAAATCCGAGGCTAAGCTACTCCATGAGAAGATCTCAGACAAGGCCTACAATGATGACGATATCATCAGGATTCTGGCTACGCGGAGCAAAGCACAGATCAATGCAACGCTCAATCACTACAAAAATGAATTCGGGAATGACATCAACAAGGTACGCAGTTGAGTTTTAAATAAACCCATTTTTTACCAGAACCCGCAGAGGTTTTGGATTTGATGAGTGTTTCTATGCCTAGGATCTGAAAGCTGACCCCAAGGATGAGTACCTTGCAATACTAAGGGCCACGATAAAGTGCTTGGTCCGCCCTGAGAAATATTTTGAGAAGTCTCTTCGTCTGGCAATTAACAAACGAGGAACAGATGAAGGAGCTCTCACTAGAGTTGTCGCTACGAGGGCTGAGGTTGACATGATGATTATTAAGGACCTGTACCACAAGAGGAACAGCGTCCCTCTGGATCAGGCCATTAAAAAGGACACTACTGGAGATTATGAAAAAATGCTTCTGGCCCTGGTTGGACATGAGAATGCTTGATCCGTTCCGGTCTAACAGTTGAACTTCCTTTTGGAGGGAGGCAATATATCTGAATCTGATGCGTTCTTTTTACCGCTATGTTTTGTTTCTTATCCGTTCGAATAAAATTATCTACAGAATTCTGATATAAATAGTTACCTTTCGTAAAACCAGATAGTTACTGGAGACTAAAGGCAAGTTTCCTGATCTTATATAGACAACAATAATGGAAGCTTGTTTTCCTTTTATAATCGAAGAGCTGGTTTTTTTTTTTTTACTATTTCAGTGCATATTTCTTGCAGCTCAAGTTAAACATTCTTGTTCATAGCACCAAAACAATTAGCGGTTTAATTATACACCTCGCCAAGGGTTTCTTAGAGGCAAGGAATTCCTGGATAGAATCGCTGTCTACAACTTTCGCCTCACAAGGTCTGTTACATACTAGCAGCACAAGAGGGGTTGAACGTTAGAGGAATACCCAGCGGTTGAGATGATTATCCGGTCATATATAAAATAAACCTCGACCTCAAGGAAGAAATTGCGGCATCACATTTTGTTGGGCTTTATTAACCAGTACTTCGGCAGGTCCTCCTTCGTGGGCTTTATTAACTAGTACTTCAAGTAACCTATTGTGTATAGCGTTATTATCGCGCATTTCTTCGAGTATGCTTTTCACCTCTCAACTAAACATTTGCTCAAATTGCCAAGATTGCTCTTCAAGTCGTCGTCAAAGAAACAACCTAGTCGGTGGATCAAAGACCTCACCACCATCCTCATCACAATCCTTCACTAATCCTTCAACAAAAATTCCTTTTGTCGTTTTGGTGGGGATTTATGCATCTCAAGGCAAATCGCCGAGATTTACTACCTTATCTCGGCGTGTCGCACTTATGGCTTAAGGTGTCGCAGCAGTAGAAGGATTATGTGCCTGTGGTAAGCCATCTTGTCCTGGATTTTGGACTAGAAGATTAGTCGTTGACTTACCCATGATTGTTTTCTTCTTTACTAACTATGTCTCAATGGTCATGAACTTCGTAGCTGTAGCACTGGGTCCCACCGGGGATGCCAAAATGTTGACCCTCAAAATTGACAAGCCTACGTGACGCGTAGGCAGACTAACTAATGAGCTAACTACGTCCTTCAGTTATGCGCGGGGCGTGCAAACTCAACGACCGAGCTCGTTGTTGACTTCTTGATCTTGCAACTGCGGCCGAGGAAGGAACACGTCTCAGCTTTTGGGTTCTAGAGTCTGAAGACAAGGCTGCTGGTCTTGCAAAGTTCACGGATTGTCGGCGTCGGGTTTGGTCACGGTGATTATATTCGTAAGAGAATAAGCATGCCGAACTGGCACCAAACTATACGGACACAAGCATTCGAAAGAGATGTATGTCTTGATGGTAAATGTGGTTCGGCCGTCGGAATGCCGAACTCTAAAAGATACTTGTGAATATCCAATCATAAAACAACTCGGCATTCAACGTGCCGAGCCTAGTAACCTGTAACACCTCACCTCATGCGAGATGGCTGATGAGATGACGTCTACCAACAAGAACTTAAAAGTCCTTGTCAACCAAGACTTGGATACGTAATTAGTCGGTCTCGAAGCAATGTTGTTTAATCAAACTGAAGGTGCTCCGCAATCGGCTGATTCTACGGCTACAGTGTTGTTTATCCAAACTGAAGATGTCGCTGATTACCTTCACAATGTTGTTTATCCAAACTAAAGATGTGTTGGGCGAGAAGAAAGGGAAAGAGGATAAAAATCTCAAAGGTTGTTGAGAAGCTTTGCACAGGGCAATTTGTGTATTGAATTAGAGGGGGCTTGAATGATGCCCTCCCTTCTCTATTTATAGTAGCAAACCCTCTCATGGCCTAGCTAGAATCATAATCGGATTAGAACTCCTCAACCTAATCTGATTAGGTCTCGGCCAATCCTAACTTCACTAGGACTTTGAACCAAGCTTTTTAACAAACCAGATTCATCCCCTAATTCTCAACATCCTCAGTCTTAACCTTAAGACTCCTTGTTGCACTAGGCTTCAACTACCTCACCCTTATCTAAACCAATCCGTCTCGCAGTAGGATTCGACCGACCCTTACTGGACAGCCCACGACAAGATTCTAGATGAATGCTACTAGGCCGAGAATAAATCTAAGCTCGGCCCAAAATAGTATTTTGGGCCCAAACACATTTACACAACATCGAATCAGAAATCCACAGTTCCGATAGTGGAATATCATACCTTCAAAGTTATGATAAAGACACAAGAACAACAAAATATTACAAAAAGCAACTGCATCATATCGAATCAAAACTCTGTTTTAACTCTTTCAGACTTCTTAATGCCATCCCAAAACCAAAATTGCACTCCTCATCTGGGGATCGGTAAGAGATTTAGACGAACATCCCGTATCTTAGCTAGAGGATCCAAAAAGAGAGCAGTTATTAGTAATTAACATAGAAAACAACAACAAAAACTTGCCGATATAGGCTAAAACACATCACTTCTTCTTCAGGTCCTTCGAGAAAATCCTCTTGCAGTACGGACTGGTGCGTAAGATTGTATGAGGCCTAACTGCTTCGACCAGAGCAGCATGAAGAGGGCCCTGCCAACAAAACAAATCGATTAGAACATGTGTGTGTGTGTGTGTGTGTGAGAGAGAGAGAGAGAGAGAGAGAGAGAGAGATTTCTAAACCTTGGTAACTCCAAGAGCAGATTGAATGACATAGTTGGCATAAGGGTCTTGCAACAACTGATCAAAACGTGGAACTGAGAGCAATTCATGGATGATTTTTGGCCGGCTCTCTTCAAAATACTTGAGGCATTTTTCAACAACATGACTACTGCACTTCTGCATGGAGAGGCGTACGAAATTTCCTTTTAACTGATTAGTCAGTTTGGCCACTGCAGATGGGATCTTCAGCTCTATGATATATTGAACAACATAATTCCTGCAGATCAAATGGTACAAAATAAAGGCACACATCAGTCATAAAGCCAAATCAAATTGTTCCACAGAATAAGAATTAAATCGTTAGTAGTTCGTAAAATACTAAACTGAATTCTAATTAGAAAGACTGAAACAAATAAAGTAACGCAATGGTTTAATTCTGTAGATTCTCATAATTCCTGCTATTAATTGCAAGATATCCGACTTATGTTTGCATCTGAAGTTGATCAAAGAAATTGATGGTTGGAAAACTTTGGTTCCTCAAGAAACAAAATTTATCAAACAATAGTGGATTACCATATCATATTAGGGGTTTATGGCCAGCAAAGAACAGAAATTATAACAGTGTGAAGACAATCGTTTACGATTACCCATAAGGATCTTGTGAAAGGAGAAGCCCATTTCTTGAAATTTCATTGATCAGCTTATCTCGATGTCTACCAATGGCGTGTGCAATGCATTTTTGTAGAACACAGCATCCATGTCGTTGAGTTGCAATCTCGACACAAAATCTTGCAGCAGCATCAAAAATAAACTGCAAGAGATCATTAACAGAATACGTTAGTCTTTTCAACGAAAGCAAAGTAGGTCCTACAGAAAGCACATAACCAGTCCTTAAAGCTTTGGAACTTCAATAATTTTGTCTGTTCATCCATGTTTATATTTTATCTCATATCTGTCCGTAAAATACTTTCGAAGTAACTATGTATTCCGGTTCATCCTACCAATCTTCTGCTAGAGTTCTGACAAGTAGGATCGTTAAAAGCGGGCTTACAGTCACCTATTAACTCTGAAGAAACATCTCATTACTCTGCAACGAGAAGCTCTGTTTCATTCCTTTTAGTCAAGGCCTCAAAAGCAAATTTACAAATTGCCTAATCCATAGAACACTAGATTTGCATCGAACAAGTTGGAAATAACGCCTCAGTTATCTCTTTGCAGCGATTTCTCTTGTTCTTCTCATTGTTCTCATACACAAGCTTGGTGACGTCATGATTCGTATATTTTTTGAACTGCTACTGAAAGGCTCATAGTCTTTGGTTTTGACAACTCAACTACTATTAATGTGGTCCCTAAATTTAGACTAACGTCTTCACTACTATCGAGAGCATTATATATGATCATGTCTACATACATCTAACCTGCCCCGCTGACTTCCTCGCATACAAATTCCCCAACAGATTTCAGAAACAAACATGGCATACTCAGAGTGACACCTTTAGTACGTGACCAAAATATAACTTTGTCAGTATTAAATGACAACACTGTGCAAGATCGGATGCCAATCTTTTCTTAACAGTAAGATACCTTCTATCGACCTTTAAATGAACAGTACAGGGAATTTGACTTCACCAACAAAAGAATACGTTTCTGAAGTCACCGAGAATATTTCAGAAACTTACAGAGGACTAGATGAATATAAGGAAAAGAAATAAGGTTCAAAACTGAGGCATGATAATCTCTATAGTGATCCTCACAGAGATATATTTGAAACCTAGTCCAAAGGTTGGTTTCGACAGGGTTCACAACTGTACTTGAAAGCTTCCCCTGACCTTTGTACAATCATCAGATTAAGTTTGGACTATTTTAGGCATCGGCATGAACAGCAGAAGAAATATTATACGTTCAAAAGTTGTGGTGAAAATGAGTGAAACACTAGCCAATGAAGAGTTAGTGAGATTGATTATAGATTAAGTTTCCTCCAAAGAATGATCAAAGGTAGGTCTAGTGCCATGAGGATACAAAACAACACTAAAGTGGCTGGCCCCGAAAGGCAAGAGATTGGAATTCGGCACCACCTATTACTTTTGTTGCCCTATTACAAGCACAGTGCACACATCCAATGAAACAGTTCACACCTTGAATATGCACTTCCAGCAGTATTATACAAAAACGCTCTATGTAGCTTACCCAAGTAATGAGTATGAAACATCATTAAGGTTCACATTACTGGTTGAATTAGAAGAATTATATGGCGAACATGTGAAGGTTTATAGCAATAATGCACCGAAACAGTACATTGCCTTTTAAAAATGTGGCTTCACAAAATATTGCCTTTACAATTTTGCATAACAGTTATGATCAAACATATTTTTGCTCGACTAGAATCAGCATTTGCATGGTACAAATTCATATGTACGTCTCTTTTCTATGTGACCGCATAAAACTTATGAGAAAACAGGAGAAAGGAACAAGATGAAAACATGAATTAGACGGTATCCTATTTATTCTTAAGAGCCTTATTTGAACCGTCAAGATAACAAGAAAAATAATTTAGTAGAACCATACCTTATTGTCTTCATTGCTAAAGCAGTCCAGGCAACGTTGTACCACATGATTACCATTTGGATCCTTAATAAGATCAAGAAAACCGCATTCAAGGGACGATTTAACTAAAACAATCTGTTTCCCAGTTTTCACAGTCTCAATCAACTTCTGTACCACGCGAGTCCTGAAACCATAGTGCCAATTATATTCAGGAACTGGATATTAGTAAGGAACTAACACTACAAATTTAGTAACAAACGAGTACTGTATGAAGAATGTACCCATGTGTGTCTAAGGAAACTCTGACAAGCTGTCCTGGTTCTTTTGTCACCATGATTACAAATTGCATTCTTTGTTGTTCATTGCACATATCCAACAACTTTTGCATTAGGTAATTGCCAAACGGGTTCGTCATAAGTTCGAAAACATGGTTGATTATTTTGTCAAATATTAATTGCAAATCTTGGCTGGTCCCCTCATCAAGCATCCTTTGTAAGAACCGACAGCCGTACTGATCCTTTGCAATGAAATATATATATCCCTGGACCTCGGTCAATGAGCTTAAACTTAGTACTGACCGAAACAAGCTATTGTCACTCTGTCTCCATTCATTTCCACTCATTCTGCCATCATATGAATCGGGATCAAGTCTAGAGCTTTTCTCTCCTGTCTGCATTGCCATCTTAGTGTAAGAGTTCTTGTATCCCTTCGAAGACTTGCTACCTTTATTGATGGCATGATTCAACTGTTTTCCTTGCATGATCAAACTATCCTTGCAACCGTAACCCTCAAGTTCCCCTGCACAATTCATGGACTTGAAAGATTCGGGAACCCCATTAGTTGGATTCACTCTAGTCCATTGATTTATCATTGAATGGTTATGCGAAAGATTGTCCACATTCAACTGTTCAACCGAGGGAAACTGAGGGGAACTCATCGGATGCTTAAGACTCTTTCCGCCATTAGAACCCGTTGCATGTAGTAAGCTAAAATAATCCTCATCAGGGTGAGACATAGCACTAGATGGGTTCCTCTGATACCAGGCATATCCCTGTTCCATTCTTTTAACACCACTAGGCCCATACAATGCATTCGGGTACATACGATTACAAAAGGACCCCATTGAATCGCCAACAGCGCATTTCGGTTGCAATCCAAGCAATGCTGACTCCATGCTCCCATCACATCTCCCTCCACAGCCGAATCCCGCAGATTGAAAACCATCAAAACCCGAAACATTGTTCTTAGAACTCTCAAATAGGCCATAGTTTTCAGCATTCCAAGGACTAATCCCCCCAAAAAACCCACCACCGAGTCCAATCCCATCCGGGCCTCTCTCAAATCCCATCCTTTTAGTCCCACCCACCTGTTCCTCCCCAATATGCATCCTATAGAAACTCTCAGGCAAACCCAGATCATCCGGCGGCGGCTTGGAGTCCAGCCACAACCCATTCACGTAAGGTGTTTGATACTTTGCCTCTTCAAATGGGGTTGAATACGGAGACGGAGAACCGTCCTCGGAGGAATATAACCCACTTGAGACAGAGCTCGACGGAAAGAACTCCGACGGGAGAGAGGCTCTGCTCACCGGAGAGCCGCCGAGAAGGTGGCGGTGATGCGGGGGATGAAGGTGGTGGAAAAGACTGGAATAATGCTGATTCCTGGTGGGATTCTCATTCCAGAGCTTTTCCAGCTCTCCTCCTTCTTCCCTCTGTAAAACCTTCTTGTCTTCCTCAGATAGTTTGAACATCATACAACATACAACATAAAAATAGTTTTATATAATATAATATACAATACACGTGAGAGAACAAGAAATATATAAAAATATACTTTCTCAGGAAAAACAAAGACAACCCAGATTCAGAATCCGAAAACCCACGTCGGAAAACGATTCGGAAGCACGCAAAACGATCAGTGAGAGTGTTTGCTGCAGTGCGAGAAAGACGATCAATGCGTGTATGTCAATGTCGTTTTGGGGATTTGATTTTCGGCAATGGGGGTTTCTAGAGAGAGAGAAAGAGAGGGTTTTGAATTTTGGGTTGTTCTGTGAGTGTATGTGATAGTACAGTCTGCGACCGCCTCACACACTCACGCCATTAAAATGAAGAGTCGCACTACAGCACTCACTGCCCACAACAGCTCAGAATAAAAAGCAGAGAGAGAGAGAGGGAGAGAGGAGAGAGAAAGTCTGACTAGGAACTAGGCAAAGGCTATTTTTCAGTCTATTTTGTTTTAATTTTCAGGGCTCGGAAAAAAAAATTTAATTTTATTTCATGTTAAACGGATAATTAATTATTATTGTTCCTTACTTAATCAAGTTTTTAAATATTTGATCTTTTTAATAAACAGTATCTGCTTTGTAAACAAGGTTCTATAACTGTTCTAACAAATTCACCTTGATTTTCTGTCGCCTAAAAGTTCGGTTTGTTATTGTTTCTTTTTAACTTAATCCAAACTTCATTTCGTTTCCAAATCTGAATTATTTTTTTATTTTTAAAATGGGTACGATATTTATTAATTGGATAAATATTTTTTTATTACAAGTAATGCGGGTACGATATTGATTAATTGGATAAATAATTTTTTATTACAAGTAATGTGAATACTCTAAGCTATATATTAAGAAGAAAGCAAAAGGTTCAAAGCAGGGATGCAGTGGGTTAAAAATAAAAATTCCATTCACCATGGTAGTTCATTGCTTGTAATAGGATAAATGAATAAGTCTACAAAATGATAAAGTGCATTTACATCGGTCTCGATAAAAATTTTATTCGGGAGTTTCAAAACCCATTCGAACCTGGTCATAGTGAGTTAAAGATGAATATCCTATCTACCAAAACAAATTACCATTTGCTATAGGATGAATAAATAAGTACAATAGTGTGCATTTACATTTAAACCTTCCTCTGGAATTCAACCCACTAGAAGGGAAAAAAAGTCTCACACCGACTTCACAAGTTAATGTTATCCACTAATAACAAACTGCCTACCATCAGGAGATATCTCGAACCAAATGCCGTCATATTCTCTTACAATATGCAATATTGTAGGAAGAAGAAAAAAGAAAGTAATTAATCTTAATTAGTAGATTTATTTACGATAATTCTTTTTAATTATTACAGTTGTTTCCTACTGCCTGCCTGCGCTACGTTTCCTTTCTGGCCAAGTCTTATACCAAAATTAGAAAAAGGTAACTTTCAGTGCAGTCAGTCTTAGCTATTGGATTGAAGCCCAATATAAGCAACGAAATCGCTTCACCCTATTGGCTGCTGCAATATTTTTTTTTCTTTTAAAAAAATTACAAAATAATTCAGAGATATTAATAAAGTAAATTACAATTTACACCGTTAAGCAGAGAACTAATGGAATAATAAGTTGAAGATTGGATAGGGAAGAAGGTTTATCTCTCAAGTCAAAACTATCAAGAATGAGATTCACTTCAAATTTCTGTGTCCAGAGTTTGTGGATTGAGAAATCCGAATCATGCGAGAGAGAGAGAGAGAGAGAGAGAGAGAGAGAGATTTGAGACGTTCAATTTTTAAATTTTTCTGAAGTGGGTCATTGTTATGGCTAATCGGAGCAATATGATTAAAATTGAGTGGTCCGAATCTCTCAGCCCGTAGGCTCCAAACACAGAGATCCGAAATGGATCTCAATCTAAGCTATAGGTCCATATTAATGAGAGAATGAACCTTGCATGAATTATAAGTAAGTTACGTTACTCTCCATATTGCCGTTTAGTTTTATAACACTTATACGTATACATTATTTTATGTTTCTGACATCCGATTTTAATCAAACGGCACCTACACACCCGGCATTTTCCCTCGTTATGGTTTGCACTTGGAGGCACAGCCCCAGTGAGCTCCAACCCGACCCAAGACTGACCAGAAAAGAAAGCTCATTACATTAGCCCATCAAGCGCAGCCCACTTATCTCTTTCAAACCAACAACAACAAAAATACGTATTCCACTTCGTGTCTAAATTTTGGTTTTGTTTCTTTGAAGGGATATATAGAGATGTGGAATTCAGGAAAATAGAGATTTCAGCTTATGTTTGTGAGTTTTGAACATGAATCGTTGTTTTTAATGCGTATATCATATTCATATGTTGTTAAATTTAACGATAATGTATGCGCTAAAAAATTCAAACGAATTTAACGGGTGGATCTAACTTCTAAGCCGTATTAACGGCAATGTATGGTAAAAGAACTATGATAATCTTTTTGCTGCTCAGCTACCGCGACTAAAGGCTACAGCTGCAAACTCAGTTTAAACAACAGCAGCGGCCGGCCAGATCAAATCGGTCCGGTTGCGTTCTTGAAAGATGTTTCATGGATGGTGGCAACTTTAACACATACAAGAAGCTCCATAACACCTAATTCACATCAGTTTTACCACCTTCCTCAAGAACAAGCTCACAAGCAGATTTCAGGATACATTCACACGCGGTTTTTCCGAATACTTCATATTTCTGACGTAGGAGAAGATTTAAACCTATGGTCTAGCATTTGAACACAAACAACGCAAAAGTACCAAAATGAAACAAGTAATCAATAAAGCTAATCCATAAGTTAAAACCCAGTAAAACAGCCCAAGCACTTCATTAAGACAAACACAGAGAGAACAGAAGAATATGGACATAGACAACCCAATTAGCAGATAGTCCATCGCTCTGGCCGACCCCGTTTTAACCTAAAACATAACTCCCAAAACTCACAATGAACAAAAGAGAAAGGTCAAATAATATCGTAACACATCCTCCCCACGATTAGGAGAAAGCCCGAAACAAAACCAGACACCATGTGATCAAATAAAATAAACCAAGTTAGACCTAACATGATGTTAAACCAAAGCAATGCTACTCTCTCCACCTGGGGGTTTGCGTACGCCTCCTAAGTAGTCTCGAGCCTCTTTCTTCCCATCCGCAAAGATGTTGCTGCCGCTCATCTCCCGTAGTTTTGCCGAGCTCAGCGGTTTTTCAGCTGACGAAGGAGGAACATCGCCCTTGAATATATCATTTCCTGAGAGTTCGGAAAACTTCTTGTCATAAATCTTCTTGGCTGTCTTGGGCGCTGGTTCCTCGATGGATATTATATTGCTCTGACCCCCACCAGGCTATTGCATAAAAACCAAATTCACATGAAGTCAGATGATTAACTACCACATAATGGGAACTGATACGTATTAGGTGTAAAGTAACACAGTTCACTTACATTAGAAACCTTAACAGGCGTGCGACCGTTGGGTGATGTAGGTTCTCCTATCTCGATGCTTCCCTTCAAGGCCAAAGCACGAGGAGCGGTAGTTGTCCTGGGTAAAATTTCAGGAGGGGGCGCAAATATGTCATGGCCACTAAGCTCCTTGAATTTAGATTCAGAGAGCTGCTTCTTCAGCCTTGCCTCTCTCTCTGCTTCCGTTTCCAAGGTTCCACTTAGCTCCCGCTGCTTTGCCACTTCTGGAATGGTGGTAGGCTTTTTGGGAGAAACACTCTCTTCGTCACCAAACGAGATATGACTGATTCCAGCAACCGCTTGCTGCCATATCCAACCATCAGAAGAAAAACTCAGCAAATAACATGTGTGTTTTAATAACGAATCTAAAACTTGACGGCATATTGATCGGTACCTGGTACATTCGAATTCCTGGCTTTAGGGTAGGGTTCGCACCATCAGCTTCCGCGGCATCATTTTCTGCTTTCGGTGCAAAAATGCCACTCCCGGTGATCTCCTTCATCTTATGCGCCGAACAAGGTTTGCTGGAAATTTCATAGTTAACAATGTTAGAGGTCTCACATATTCCGACATCATATACATATTCACTACATATTGTTATTCAAACTTTCACCGCAACTTATGAAACAAAACAAAGTTAACGTTTTAGGAAAATAACAAAACCCATCAATTAAACAAGTTTATATACATGAATTCAAAACTATCTCTGTGATTATAATCTAAAACATATAGATTTTTTGGGTGAAATTTGCAAAATATGGAAAATTGAATATTTATGTGGATTCATGGGCCAAACAAAGTAGATCGCTCACAGATCAATCAATCTTCAAGTTTAAAATTCATTTTTTCCATATTAAAAAAGGGAAATTTACTAGAAAATACCAAGTCAAATTCTAATAGAACATCCAAGTAATGAAAAATTAAAAAAATTAAAAAAAGCATTATTTTTTTAACCATCAATTTGGTCCCAGAAATAATTCCTTAATTTTTTTTTTTTTTTTTTTTCAAATTCATAAGCATTGTAGAAGAAATATCCGTTGCAGGTCCACTTCCAATGGCCACAAAAACGAGAACAAAGAAACAAAATTTTGAAACATAAAAAACCCAGAAAGTGAAACGCGAAGGAGAAAGCGGAAAGCAGAAGCAGGAAGAAGTAGATCTGACCGTTTGTTCAAGCTCTCGACCTCCTCGTCCGTCACCTGCCCTCCAAACACCACCTTTCTGATCCCATCCGACGGCTACGATCAATACCCAAAAAAACAATGAATCAACAAATCAAAGAACAAACCGAGAGAGAGAGAGAGAGAGAGAGATAAATGGAATTCGGAATGTCACCTGGTGGGGCCGAGAGGCGGAGGATGGAAGAGGAGAATCAGCCAGCGGAGTCTCGGACCAGGTGAGCAGATCCGCGGTGGATGTGTGGGGCTTCCTCACCGGAGTGCTTCTCTCCATTTCGGGTCGGGCCTTCGGATTCTCGCAGCGTCCGATTCACCACTACCACAGTTAACACTATCGCTGGAGCACTCTCCCGAAATGACGAAACTGACCTCGTTCCGGAACGTTCCTGTGTGTCCGCTCTGGGGGTGCGGGGTAGGGGTTTGTGGGTATTTTCAATGGCCTTTTTGGAAAGGGTGGAGTTGAAGGGAGAGTAGGCGTAGGAGGTGACTTGGAGTGAGCTACTGACTTCCTTTTTTATTCTCTTTCTTGGGCCGCCTTATTTATACGCATAATAGTTTGAAATGGCGAGCATATGACGCCGGAGGGCCAGCCACGTGCCGGTTAATTTAATATTACGGCGCCTGTTGTAAGGAATTTACCGGAATATCCTCCTGTGTTTTTACTGTTTGACCGTTTGACTTGTTACCTCCGACC